TAAACAAAAATTGATTGTATTGATTAAATAGAAATGATGGCCATGATAATTATGTGTGTGAGAGAGAGAGAGAGAGAGAGAGAGAGAGAGAGAGAGAGAGAAACTAATCAATTATTGAAATTTGATTGATTGACACTATGGAAATATCCGATCTGGTAACGATGATATCGGTTTTTTCTTTCTTTCTTTTTTTTCCATTGAAAAATGAAAAATGATATTTTTTTAACGGATTGATTTTTTTTTTTTTTTGAATATATATAAAAAGAAGTTTTTTTTTTCGTTATCATCCAACAAAAAGAAAATTTATTGATGAAGGATTTTCGATTGATTGATTGATTGATTGATTGATTTTGTTTTCCATTCATTTGAATAAAGAATTCATAAGTAATCATTAAGCACCGGATTTTGCATTGCCTATCGAATCGAATGACCGTAATNTTTCCATTGAAAAATGAAAAATGATTTTTTTTTAACGGATTGTTTTTTTTTTTTTTTGAATATATATAAAAAGAAGTTTTCTTTTTCGTTATCATCCAACAAAAAGAAAATTTATTGATGAAGGATTTTCGATTGATTGATTGATTGATTGATTTTGTTTTCCATTCATTTGAATAAAGAATTCATAAGTAATCATTAAGCACCGGATTTTGCATTGCCTATCGAATCGAATGACCGTAATCATGTCGTCATCATCAAAAAAAATGAATATGAAAATCAAAACAAAATAGAAAACAAAAATGCCGACCAACCATATGATCGTCAAATGGTTGACAAAAACAAACAAACAAACAAACAAAAAATATATAAAAACATTTGATTTCGGTATTTGTTTGATTCGATTTGCGTTGATAAATTTATCAGGGATATAGGGATAGAAATTGAGAAAGAAAAAAAACAAAACAAGAAATCAATCGATCAGAATTTACCATCAAATCACTGAATATTTTTAAACAAATTCCAAAACAAAAAGCTAAACATTCAGGTGCATTTATGTCCTGCCGTATCAATGTTTTGAAAGTTATTTTTCTTTTTCAAATGACGTATTTTATTTGGTTGAAATAATTTCAACAGGTTTCTCCATTGGTCAAAAAAAAAAAATAAAATCGATGTAAATAATTGAGTTGAATTCGAATCATGACACGTTTTTTTTTTTGGTTTCTTCTGATTATTAAAATTGCAACAAAATTAAATCGATTATTCATAGATTGATTGATTGATTGATTGATTGATTGATTGATTGACTATTTATGACACGAACATCCATTATCCATGATTCATCTTTTCTTTGAAATTCCGTTTAATTTTGATTTTCTGATTAATTAAATAATCATCATCATCATCATTTTACAACAACAACATTTGGAATTTTCAGAATTGGAACGAAAAAAAAGAAAAGAAAAGAAAAGAAAAATGTAAAAGGTTTCCGGCATTGCCCAGGTTGAATCAATAACGGTATCCATTCAATTTTTTTGGTTGTTTTTTATTTGTTATTTTTCTCAAAAAAAAAATCCATTTGAAATGATTCATTTTGTTTGTTTGTTCATTTTTTTTTTTTTTAATATCAATATTGATAGGAAAAACAAATCTTATGTGTGTGTGTGTGTTTACATACGTTTGTGTTTGTCAAATACAACAACAAACTTATTTAATCAGTGAAAAATGTTTCATATTTTGTTTTGATCTTTCAATATTTGTGTATGAGGCGTTTTTCAATGTGTATTCAATGGGAGTGTGTTAGTAGTGTAGGTGTGAAAGGTGTGTGGGTATGATTTGTTTTTTTGATCATAATTAAAAAAAAAGACAACAGCAAATGCATTGCATTCAATAAATATTTTTTGTTTTTTTTTCATGTTTAAATAATTTTATTTATTCAAATTTTTTTTCAGGGTTTTTTTTTCTTCTTCGGTTTCATCATCATCATCATCATATCCAGAACGAAACAAAAAAAAATTGTCGAAATAGTGTTTATATAATGTGTGTGTTTAATGAATTTTCAATTTTCAATTGATTTTTTTTAAAAATTAAATTATGTCTAACCATCTATTTTATCATCATTATTATCAATCAATTGTCAAAATTATCAATAAGATTGTGATTTTCTTGTGGTTATGTTGTGTGTGTTTGTGTGTGTGTGTGAATGTCATTATGAAATGACTTATTTTGTGTAATGTGAAGAGGGAGAGAGAGGAAAAAACATTTTAAACAACAGAAAGGAAAAATTAACGATTGAAAAAAAAATATAATGAGCATTCTGTTGGAACAAAACAAACAAAAATCAATCGATTATTATTATTTTTGTATTAATATTTATAATGTTTTTATAAAGTTTTTTATTTGATCTGATTCAATGTAATTTGTATTATTTGGTTGTTAGTTGTTTTTTTTAAATGTTTGTTAATCAATAATTACTGTTGGTAGTTGATCGGGGATATTTTGCAGAATTTATGTTTAATAACGAATACCTTCATCATTAAACATATGCGGTGCTTTTTTATAGCGGATACCTTCATCATCGAACGGTGATTTTTTGTAACGGATACCTTCATCATCGAATGGTGATTTTTTGTAACGAATTCCTTCATCATCGAATGGAGATTTTTTATAACGGATACCTTCATCATCGAATGGTGATTTTTTATAACGAATGCCTTCATCATCGAATGGTGATTTTTTGTAACGAATTCCTTTATAATAGAAATAATGATAATAAAAACCGTTAATATTTATGAATTTTTTTGGTTAAATTAATGATTGATTGAAAGAAAAAAAGCGAAAGAAAGGAATATTGAAAGTGAAATTAATTACACTGTAGACAAACTTATAAATCTTACTGTGTGTATGTGTAATCAATAATCAAACTATGAATGAATAGATAGAAATAGATGATAACCGAAACAGTTGTCATAAAATGGTTCGATAGAGAAAGATGACAGCAGTAGAATTTGATGTTTTAAAATGAAAACAAGTGCGAATTTGAAATGAAAGCAGTGTTGTTTTTTTTTTTGAAAGTTGTGCATTTGAGCAAAAGTGCAAGAAAACGAAAGCTGATCCATTTGAATCATATTTAAAGTGATAAATGAATTTTTGCAAATGATAAAATTGATGTTCGTTGACTTACCGGTTGGATGTAATAAATCTAATATAGATAGATTTGGTTCTGTATTAGTATTTTCGTTTTGTTGATCAAAATGTGGTTGAAAAAAATTATCATTTTGTTCAGTAGTTTGACTACTACGTTTGAAACGTATACCTTCTTTATCCCATGGATTTGCCCGTAATATCATTGTTTGTGATAATAATTTTTTTGAACGTGGTGTTTCTAACATTGGACGATCGGTTTCAAGTAACCGTGATGATTGACTGGCCGTTTCATCTATACCAGTTGTTGTTGCTGTATCATCCTGATGATGATGAAGATGATGATGTTGATGTTGATGATGCGGATGTCGATTAGTTTTTGTTGAAACCGGTGTGGTTATTTTCATCGTTGCCGATGTCATCATCGAGGTTTTACTTGATGGAAATGATTGTGGCGAAAGTGTATAAAAATTTTCTCCATTTGTATCATACAATGATGATGAATCTTCATCACTATTTCGATTCATTTCCATTGATATTGGTGATTGTTGTGAAACATCTATGTTTTCATTTGAATCAATTTCAAATGATTTAAGGCTATCAACATCAAAAGGCGTTAAAGATGATGGATGTAAATTATCATGATATTCATATGATGATGATGATGATGATGTAGGCATTGATTTTAATTCACTTTTGTCTTGTTTCTTTTCCTGAATATGTTCGGACATTTTTAATGCATCTTCCAAACGTTTTAATTGTTCTTTTGATTGTATTTTTTCCAATAATGGTTTAGCAATAGATAGATTCAACAAAAACAATATCATACGTTTATTTACACGGCTATCTTTACGAGAATTGGCTGAATTACGATGTTTTCGGCTTTTAATTTGAACAATTTTACCATTATGTTTTTTATAACGTATTCCTTTAAGATCTTTCCAATAGGAATCTAAACGTTCAGCTATTGAAGATGATTCTTGTTTAATCAATGATGATTTATATAATGAATCACTATTCTCTTTTAATTGGCTATTAATACGACCAATATGATTATGACCATGAGTATTTGGTTGTCCAAAAAACCAGCTTTTCTTTTCACGTAACGATGATTGTGATGATGATGATGATGATGGTCGTATATCAGTAATTTCTTGATGATTATGACGATTATCGATAACAAGTTGTATACATTTTTTAATCAAATGAACCGTTACATGTGAATTTATTGTTTTTGGTGTAGATATTGTTGTTGTTGTTGTAGAATGATTTTGATTTGAATTTTTTTGATTCGAATGTTGTTGTTGTTGTTGTTGCTGTCCTCTATCGATCGATCCATCAACTGTTATCGGATTATCATCATTTTTACCATTATTACTATCATTAATATTACTACTACCACTATTACTACTATTACTACTATCTTTATTTGAATTATGTTCATTTTGTTTATAATTTTGGCTATTATCATCATGATCAATAATTGAATTTAATAAATCATTATGATATTCTTCATAATCATCATTATTATCATTATGATTATGATGATTATTGTTTTCTGTACCAATATGTTTAGCCAAACGATCAATTATTCTATCGTTTATCATTGAAATCGGTATCGATGATATTGTTTCGATTGATGATTGATCAATATCTGAGAATAAATAATTATTATCACCTAATTTTTTAAATTTAATTTAAAACAACATTATAATGTGTATAAAATCAATGTGGAAATGGAAATTTTAAAAACAAAAATTAGTTTATGAACCGAAATAGATAATATTCCAGTTGAACAGTGTTTTTTTTAAGGTTTTCATATGAAATCAATCAATGAAAAGAAATAGTGTTCAAAAAATAGGAATAATTTTAAAATGAAACAAACCTTTACTGGCAAGATCACGTGTCAATATGGCCGATATAATCTGTTGACATGCTTCTAATGGTCTTTGACTTATGGCCAATGGATGCGTCCAATCCGATTGTTGTTGTTGTTGTTGATTATCAAAATTACCATTGAACGGAATACTACGTTTGGTCAATATTGAATTGCCATCATTAGCACCAGAATCAGTTGTCGATGATGATGATGATGATGATGATATTGGCAATTTCAATGATGAAATTGATACACATTGTATTGGTTGTTCAATGGTCATAACCAATATACAAACAGCCATTATTGTTGTTATCATTTTTGTTAATGATATTAATGAATTACGATGGGAAGCGATATTATTTGCCGAAGAAAATGTTGACAATAATGGCGTTAATGTTGATGTTGATGTCGATGTTGTTGTTGATGATGTTAATGGTAATGATGATAATGATGGATACAATACAATATTATTATTATCATCATCTTTTTCAATAATTTTTTTCAATTTAAAATCGGAAGCATTTTTATCTAAGCCAAATTGTTGTTGTTTTTGTTGCTGTTGCCTTTTTTCAGATTGTAATCGGCTTGATGATAAACGATGATGAATATTTGATGATGATGATTTTATCAATAATGATGACATTCTGATGATAACAATTAATAATAATTTAAATTGAAAATTAAATAAATTAGGTAAAAGTTTTTTTTCAAACAACCAAACAAAAACAAAAAAAACAAAAAAATTCAATATTTTTTTTTCTGTTTGAAAATTTGATTTACGAAAAATAATTTTTTTTCACAATTTTTTTTATTCAATATATTTTGTTCAAAACAAGTGAATTATAAAAAGAAAACGAATGAAACTAATATTGGTAATTTGATAGATTTTTGGTTGCTTTATATACCAAGAATATGGTCATCATCATCATCATCATTGTCGTCGTCGTCGTCGTCGTAGTTGTAGTTGTCGACATTGAAAAAAAATGGACCAACACCTATTACGACCAAAAACTTATACGGAAACAACCAAAAAATGGCCAAACAGAAAAGAAAAAACCAAGATAAAAATCTAAAAGGTGGTTACAACACGAACAAAAAATTTTCGGGAAAAACAATAACCGGCCTGGTCTTGCGCCAAAACAAAAAAAAATCAACAACAACAACATCCATATAGACCATTCTGGACATGAACACAAACAAACGATCAAACAGTAGCTAAAATATTGGTTACTTAATAGACCTGTTTATCTTTTTTTTTGAATTTGTTTTTCTTCTTTTGGGCGGATCTTTTCGTTTTCAATTTCTTAAAGATATTAAAGACGACGAAAAACAAGTGGCGCCCGCATACACGCAACTTTGAACGGAAAAATTTCTTTTTTTTTGAAATGAAATTCATCACTGGTTAGCATAGTGTTATTTCGATTGGTCATCAACATCAATTGGTGTTGATGACCGATTCAAGAATTTCATACAAATTTGATTAATGATCGAATGATTGATGACCTTTCATAAGGTGAAATTTTTTTTCATAGCCATTCCTATATTGATAAAGAATATTCAATGACCTGTGTTATGACAAACAACAAACACTATAGTTTATAGCAGTTTATCGGTATTCAGAATTCATTCTGTTTCTACAATCCAGGAAAAAACAGATTAAGTTAAAATAGAAATAAGATAAAATAATCAAGATAAGAAGAAGAATTGAACCAGAAAAAAAACAATGAACAAAATAATAAGGAATATTTTTTTTGTTTGTCAAAGGAAAAAAGCATATGGTATTCTTTTTTCAGATCCAATTCAATGATATGATCCAATTAACTATCAAAATTTATTATTATTTCTAATGTTTATCATTGATGTTTATCATTGATAACTGAATCAATAAATGAATTTGATCAATAGATAAATCATATATGAATGTCAGATGAATAATAATAATAATTTTCTTTTTTTGATGACAAAAACAAATGAAGTTTGTTTGTTTGTTTGAATTGGTTTTCGAAAAAAATGACAATTACCATTCATTCCGATGAATGTCAAGTGTTATTTTTTGTTTCCCCACTTGTACAATATTCGGATGCAAAATTCATTTTCGATAAATATGATTAAAAAAGAAGTTTTTTACTTTTAATTCTGTCGTCATCATTATTGAATGAAATTCTGACAAATTATTTGATAACCAGAACCAAAAAAAAAAATAAAAACATTCAAGAATTTCTCATCTTTTTTTCTTTAATTAAAAATGAGTTTCAAGTGAATCAATTTGCTTTTTCTATAGAAAAAACAAATTTATCTAATATTTGTTGATGAAAGTAATGATGGATAACATATTGATGGAAACTAACCAATAACCAATAACCAATATTGAATCAATCGATCTTTGAGAGGAACGAAATAAAAACTTTTTGATTCAATCAATCCAAATAAACTTTTATCATCATCATCATTCAGGTGATTGTTGATTGAATTGAATTCAAAAGTTTTTGCTCAAAAAATTCAAAAAATTATCATTTTTTTCAACAACAAAAAAAGTTTTTTTCTTTCAAGCCAAAAAAAACAAATCAAATCAAATCAAAAAATTGAATCATAAACGGAAATTCTCACTCAATTTTCAATCAAATTCTGTTTGATGAATCGTCTATTTTTTTTTCTTCTTCATTCAAAAAGTTTTTTCCTTCCAGGAAAAAACCAAAAATTCTTCCAATTCATTCATTCAGAACAATCAGATCATATCATATAACATTTGATTTTTTTGGTTGATATCGAAAATCAACATTCGTGTATTCTACCGTAAACACACACACACACAAGATTCGAGAAATCATAAAACAAAAAATAGGCGTTGAAATAGGCTTAATTCAATTTTTTTTTTTCATTATTCGCCCAAGCAAACAGAAGAAGAATAAGAACGAAAAACAATGAAGGTTTATTTATCTTGAAGGAAAAAGAAAATATTTTTAAATGATTTTCTTTTTGAAAGCAAAAACCATCATCAATATTGATATTTTCTTTGCTTTATTTTCAATTATTATTAAAAAAATCCAACAATGCACGCATAAAGCGAGTGAGAGAGACGATTATTATTATGTTATCTTTGTCAATGATCAGGTGGTAGTAGAGAGAGAGAGAGAGAGAGAGAGAGCGAGAGCGAGAGAGATAAGGAAAACCAGAAGAATAATATTGAAATTGTTTCAATATTTTATTCGGGTGTTTTTTTTATAATTCTTGTGTTTTGTTTTGTTGTTGTTGTTACTTCAATTTGGGTTGAAGAATATAAAACACACACACATATACAAACATAGACAATCAATTGAAAACGATCATTTTTCCGGATTTGGATTTGAAAGTTTTCATGGATTTTTAAAGATATTTTTTGAAAATTTTTTTCTTCAAGAATTTGATTTGACATTTCTTTTCCCTGTATAGTTCATTGAATCGATTGATTTTAATGGATTTTTTTGGTACAAATTTTTTTGTTTCTCTTTGAAACAACAAGCTAAATAGCAGTTTTTGGATATTTTTTCTTTTTTCAAAAAAAAACAAAATTCAATTCTCTTGATAATATTGAATTTTTGATTGAAAGTTGATTTTTTCAATTTTTTCTTCTCTAATATCTTCACTATCCAATCATTCATTCATTCATTTAAATCAATTTTTTTTTTGTTTTGTTTATTTTTGTTGTCGTTGTCGATGTTGTCAGAATTAACAACGATGAAAAGAAAATTAACTCAATCAAAAAAATCAAACTAAATTAATAAAGTTAACAAGAATTAATCCAGATTGAAAATTATAAAAACAAACAATAGCAACAACAACAACAACAACACTGAAAATTGAATTTTCAAAAAAAAAACACACACACAAAGAAAAAAAATCAAAATCAAATTACCCTTTTTGAAAAACAAGAGAAGAATTTTCAATTATCTTTTAAAACATCAAACATTTCATTGATTTTTGATTATATAATCACTGTCTCTCTCTATTTGGATCTGTATTTAAAACAAGGGAATCCCTATTTTTGCCATCATCATCATCATCAACAACGTCACCATCAAAGGGGGAAGGAAAACAAATTTAATAAAATAAATAAAACATGTCAACAAATGAATCAATTGAAAGGAAATTTTCAAGAAAGAATTCAAAAGAAGACAACAACAACAAAAAAAATTCCAAGAAATTTTAATAGAAATTTTTTTTTTCAAAAAATACTCCTTTTTTGCTGTTTTGTTTCCATCCTGATCATTATCTTTTGGAATTTAGATTCTAAATAAATAAGAAAATCACACACTGTTGTTTAAAATAGTCAAAATCGAATCAAACAACACACCTATTTATCAATATGAATCTGATGAACGACAATAAACGAAAAACCAGAAACTAATAAAAAAACTAAATAAAAAAAAAATGAAGCAAAACAAAAAAAAAACATCTGAGATTCAGTATATGCGCCCAATAATCAATATTGTTATAGTAGAATTCCCATCTTGAATCTTTTTTTTTGTTTTGTTTTCCAATAAAATCATGTTTTAATATTCACACACACACACACCTACACATTATAAAATTGATAAGGATTCCTGTTTCTATTTTTCTTTTCTTTCTTTTTTGCTTTTTGGCTAGTTTATATGATCGCCTTCGATCAACATCAACAAACAAAATGATAATCTTATGATAAAAACTTTTTTTCCTGTTTCATTTCGTTTGATGATGATGATAAAGATGAATATAATTTTAGCAACCGATAAAGATAGTGAGATAAAGACGTTTCTGGTTCTTGGTTCTGGCGTTTTTTGTTTTCACATTGGAAATGGATAAATTCAAAACTTAAATCTTATTGAAATTTGTAACAAAATCGGATTTTGGTATCTTATCGGGAAAAAAGGCGAAATGAATTTCGCTACTGTATTCAACTGAAATGTAGCAACAACGACAGCAAAATTGATCGGAAATGCAATAATTTTCTTCCGAATCAAATCAAATCAAAAATGAAAAGAAAAGAAAAGATTCCTTAACAAAAAAGGCGTTTTTTTCGCTGACGATGATGCAAATTTTCAGAATTTTTACGGAAATTCTGATTTTTTCGGAATGTTATTGATCAAATTTGAATTTTTCCCCAAAAAAAAAAATTTACATTTTGTTTTCTTTGGAACATATCAATATTGATAATAAGTAACATTGTAATGTAAAAAATACAAATAACCTTTGATTATGAATAATATTTTGCTTGCTTGATGTTTCTTTAATTTTATTTATAATCAGAAAATGGAAAATGGAAAAAATGGAAATGAAAAAAAAAAATGAAATACGTTTTATGAATATGATGATTTCTGTAGATTCTGTTTGAGTGGAATTTGATTTGATTTTCTGGTTGCTTGTTTCAAGTATAAAAAGGGTTTGCAAATGATCGATGATCGAAGAAGCAGAAGACGAAAACAATTCATCATTCACAACAATCAAAAACAAAACAAAAAAATTATGATTTATTTTGATTTTCAAAACAAAATGACTTTAAAAAATTCATTGATTTTGTTCTATATGTTTACCATTATTACATTTCAATTATATTATCTACCAATGGCTAATGCATCATCATTTAGTTTAACTAGAGATGATTGTGCTGATCTTTATTCAATGATTGGTGCTATTGGACAACAACAACAACAACAAACAGAAAATGCAATCGGTTTGTCCACAATCAAATTCATCAATTGTTTTTCCTTAATAATTTTTTAATTTTGATTACAAAAAAAAATATTTAGATATAATTCGTCGTATAACACAACATCGATTAGATGGTGATAGTCTTGTACGTCTTTATGATCTTTGTTTACGTTCAGAAGAAGGTATACGTTATCGACGATCATTACGACCATCATCATCATCATCAATTTTACCATCATTATTATCAACGAAAAATAATTGGAAATTATTAGATCGAAATAATATGGGAAAACAACAACATTTTTCCATTATACCATCATCATCATCATCAATCGATCATTCGGATCAATCATCAATCGAAACCGATGCATATATACCATTACGAACCAAACAACAACAACAACATTAACCTAGGAGAAAATAAACAAACACAAAATATCGCAACATAAATTATTTAAAACATCAAAAACGATTTGATAAATTTTCAAATCAACATTCAAAACAAAATTCAATTCAAAAACAAACAAAACCAAAATCTATCTTGTAAAATTATTTTATGAAAAAATTTTTAATCAGAGAGCGAGCCATAGCCATAGAGAGAGAGAGAGAGAAAGGGAAATCCAATTATTTTGATCTGAAGAAAACAATAAATAAATAAAAATTCAATTTCAATTTTCAAATATTCTGATTCTGTCAGTGTGTGCATGAGATTTACAATTTATTTTTTGTTCTTTCTTTTTGTCATTTTGCTTTCGTTTCCAGAAAAAAAATGTTGATAATAATAATAATAAAAAGATTCAATTACGATCAATTTGAATGGTTATACAAACGTAAACGTAAAATACAAATAAAATTCCAATTACAATGATGATGATGATGATAATAAAATTTTCATACCTACATTCTTGAATTAGGCAAAAAAGAAAAAAACATTTGGCCAAATATAAACATTACAAAATTAGATTGAAAATCAAAAAAAAAATGTTGTTCAAATATGCAAATAATAGACGATGCTAAAAAACAACAAAAAAAAACAAAAAAAAAACAAAAAACTTGAAAAAGTTTATCGGTAATGTTCCGGAGATGAAAATTTTCATTTTTCCATCATCATCATCATCATCAAAACAATGCAAATGTTTTTGTTTTGTTTTGTTTTGTTTGTTTGGCTACATGTATAATTTATATTATGAATATTCCGAAATATGTTTTTATTTTTTAGCATCCAAATTGGTTCTCTATGAAAAAAGGGAGAAATTTTTTTTCTTTCCATAGAGAATCTGCTGTATGGAATTTATATTTCTCGTAATCCTTATGATAATGATGACATTTAAAAAAAGGTAGAGCAGTAGAACCGAAAATTATGAAATTTTTTTTTCTTCTAGAATCTTCAATTATTATTATTATTCTTGTAAGAATAGACCAAGTTTCCGTTATTAATTCTCCTCATTAAAATCCTGAAGATGGTGAAAAAGTAAACATTTCCAAACCCTGAATATATTGTAAACATCATTATCGATTATTGATCTGTAAATAAATTAATTTTTTCATTGTTTTACTTTTTTGTTGTAGTTGTTGTTGTTGTTATTATTATTTATGTATTTACCTTTCCTGTCTTTCCTTTTTTGTATTTGTTGATTTCTATATAATGAGACAAAAATTTTTTTTTCTAATTTTAACTTAGAAATAAAAACAATATTCCAGTGTAATATTCCTAAATGGAAATTATTATTATTATCATAAATGTTAAGGTAGAAAAAAGAAAAACAATGAAAAATTTAATTAATTTCGAATCTAATTCTCTGGTGGTGTATCGAGTGGTTGTGGAAATAGTTGATTGATTGATTGTTGTTGTTGGTTGTATTCTTTTTGGTTGAAGTCGATTGTTGCCTTATGATAATGGGGATGATGATGTCAAAATAAAACAAACGGAAATAAATGAATGAAATTTCATTCGAATTAAATGTTGACCAATATTGTTTGAAAGAAAGAAAAATTATGGAACCACTTATGAAATGATTGGCCCATTTTTCAAAATAAATGATAATAAATTCTTACTAATTTGTTTTTTGTTAGTGGTGAATATCAACAACAACAACGACTATAGAATTCTTTTTTTTTCAATAAAACGAAGAAAGAATATTCGCGAAACATCATATAAATTTTTACCAATGATTATGATGATGATTTGCGTAGGTTCATTTTATTATTATATATTTTTTTGGTACACTTTTTTTTAATATTTTTGTTGATATTTTATGTTGCAATCAAACAAGAAAATGGCAAACAAATTTTTCATAATCATTATTATGGATATATAAAAAAAATAACAACAAATCTATATAGATTTAAAAAACACGAATATCACAACGTGGCCAAGTTTGTCTGATGGTCATTTTTTTAATATTCATTTATTCATTTCAATTCTCTCTTTATACTTACCCAAAAAAAAAATTCAAAATACACTAGATTTTTTCTCCTTCCCCCACCATAATTTCGTACATTTGTTTTGCCAAAATGTTTCTGAAATTATTTATTATTATTTTTTATGATCAAACATCTCATCATCATTTTGTTTTTATTCGATTCCAAAATCGAATAAAAAAAATTAATGTTCGAAATGTAAACAGAATTCTATTTCGACCTTTATCATTCTTGGCATGTAGAAATTGATATGTAAAAAATGTAAAAGAAATTACAAAAGAAAAAAAATGATTTTTTCCAGAATTTTCATTATTTACATTCGTTTTGTTTTCTTTTTTTTTTGATACAATCATAATTTGTTTTTGACATCACGAACCGAAAAAAAGAGTAAAGAGCAAATGATAAAATGGAATGGAATATATCACGAAACATTGAAATTCTTTCATTTGCTATTTTTTTGGCTATTTTTACTTCTTAAAGTGTATTTGGGCGGTGGTTCAAGTCTTCTTTTTTTTGGAATGTGGGTGTTTTTTACGTACAATTCTCTGATTGTTCTTTTTTGTTTGAATTTGATTTGAAATTTCCATTTCATTAAAAAAACAAAAAAAATTTTTTTTAGAAAATCCATTTTGTTTCAAAGATTTTTCATTTGTTTTTCGCCCTTTTCGTTCTCCCACACGAACATCATTATCATCATCATCATCGTCAACAACAACGAGTAAGTTCAAGTTCGAACGTAATACTTTTTTTTCATATTTGATAAATAATTTTGGAATTTCAATTTTTTTGTTTCTTTCTTTCAATCTTTCCCATCTGTCTTTCGCCGATAATTATAATTTCACATCAAACTAAGAAAGAACTACAACAACTACCAAAGTGACAACTAAATATGAACTGAAAATTATCACATCCGTTTTTATGATGATGATGATGGTAATGCAATATCTTTTAACACAAAAAAAACTTCATTTCTAATATTGAATGAGAAAAAAAGGAGCATACAGAATTTCGTGTAAAGAAAAAAGAAATATTCATCAGATGACATATTTACTGTGTTTATGCACTCTGAAAAGTGCAACGAAAAAAATAAGAAGAATTTCGAATCAACAACAACAACAAAATTAGCTAAAAATTCTTCAAAAACATCACTGGCGAAAAAAAGAAAAAAATGTCAATAATAAGAATTCAACATTCTCTACGATTTCTAACATTTCCATTTTCACCACTACCACACACGACAATCATCTACTTATCATCATCATCATCATCATTTTTTAATGTCAAAAATTTCAGAATAATTATTATGATGATTGGATGAGAAAAAATTTGAATTTTTTTTTTTTGTCAATTTTGTACATCGTCATTATATATTTTTGCTTTTTGATCATTCACGACATAAATTTGGCATCAAATTTGTCAACCAAAATGCCTGATGATGATGCCTGATGATGATGATGGTAACAACATACAGATCCGAAAATGGAATATTTCTTATATTCTCCTCATTGGCTCATCATATACATCTGTAAAATTGTATACATGATGATGATGATTATGATTAGATCAGCCAACCGAATCGATGATGATGATGATATTTGCATATATAAAACAAACAAACAAACATAATCTAATTTTATCTATTTTTTTTTCATTCGAATATTGTTTTTTGTTTGTTTGTTGTTTTTCATCATATGAATGAATGAAAATTGAAATGTTCAACAACAACAACAAAAAACAAAATTCAAGAAATCAAAATCCATATGAAAATATAAAATGGATTAAATGTAAATAGGATCAACAATAACAGTGGCAAACATTTTAGTAGGAAAAAAAATTCTTTCAATACACACACCCACCTTCTCACATAAACATTTACAAATATTATTCATGAAAATTTCTTCCGAAAAACAAAATCCTCATCATCATCATCGACAATTCCGTTTTTTTTCACTTGTTTCGAATTCTTATTTTATTTTTTTATTGCTGTAGTCATTTTTTTTTTCGTTGTTGGTTAACATCCAAAACTAAAAAAAAAAAAAAAAAAAAAAACCAAAGGAAAATATTTGAGGAAAAAACACTTGGGGGTCAAATCAGTCAGTGAATTAGTATACAAGGGAGGGG